ATTTATCGATCGGTAAAAATTGAAAAATAACCGGCGTCAACTGATAATCAACGTAAATTGAAAAATGACGCATAACATTTACATGTAATTTGCGCTGTGTCTGCATTAATTAATCCTAAAACGATCAATGATAATCCTAGTTATGTTTTTATTTATTCCTTTTTGATGATGTTTCCAGTAATAGTTATCTATTAAATATATATCCATTCTGTTATTTTGTTGTTTATCAATGTATTTATTGAACTAGTTGGTACATATAAAATTTAATTTATAAAACAGATAACATTTTTAATCATTAATAGAATTTTTTATTAAATATTTTCTATCTATTCTGTTATTCGGTTATTTACTTATACATTCACTACTAGGCCGTAAGTGCAGATTTTATTCATAAAATGATTAACATATTTTAGCTCACTGAATTCTCTATTCAATATTCTTATCCTTTATTTTATTATTTACTTATATGTTAACTATCAGTTTGTAAGTATAGAATACTATTAAAAATAAACAATAATTTGCTATTAATAGAATTCTCTATTCATTTATATATTAAACACCAGCTAGTAAGTATAGAATTCTATTTATAAAATAACCAAGATATTTTGTTATAATTGAATTCTCTATTAAATATTCTTATATATTCTTATTTATTCTGTTATTCATTTATGTATTCATTAAACTAGCTGGTATGTATAGAATTTTATTTATAAAATAAATAACACAGCTTCTATCAATAAATTCTCAGTTAATTATTTCTTATCTATTTTATTATTCTGTTATTCACTCATTTGTTAACTACAAGGATGTAAGTATAGAATTTTATCTATAAAATAAATAATACATTTTAACAACAATAGAATTCTCTATTAAATTTTTTATCTATTTTGTTATTCTGTTATTCATCAATATATTCATTGAACTAGTTGGTATGTATAGAACTTTATTTATAAAAAAACTAATAGGTTTAATCTCATAGAATTCTTTATATATTATTTGGCCTATTCTGTTATTCTGTTATTCACTTGTGTATGTTAACTACCAGACGGTAAGCATAAAATTTTATTTATAAAATAAACATGTTTAATCACTGATAGATTTCTCTATAAATATTTTTTTTTATCTACTCTGCTATTCACTCATGTATTACTACTAGAGGGTAAGTATGTGTACATTATTGAACAGATGAAAAAATAACAGGAAATTTTTTTATCAGATTTAATTTTACTTCATGTGCTTCGTAGCAGCATATAAGTGAAATTAACTCTAATAAAAAAAATTTCTTGTTATTTGTCATGTATATATTCAATAATGATGTTATCTGATAGTTAATATGATCATGTGAAGTCTTTTTGTGATATTTTGCAAAACTGGTTATGTAGTTTATGCAAAAAATATCATGCCAAAAAATTTACATGATTATATGAAATGTTAGATAAAGAATTTTATTTATAAAACAAACAACATATTTTATCATTAGTGAAATTCACTATTAAATATTTCATAATTATTCTGTTATTTATTTACACTTTACTTATTAGACTGTAAGTTTAGAATTTCATTTATAAAATAAACAATATATTTTATCATCAATAAAATTTTCTATTAAATATTATTTATTCTGTTATTTATTTACACATTTATTAACTTGATGGTAAGCATAAAATTTATTATAAGATAAACAGCACATTTATTATAATAGAATTCTTTATTAAATATTATTATTCTGTTATTTTGTTATTTATTTATGCATTAATTACCAGAATGTAAGTATAGAATTTTATTTAAAATATAAATATTATATTTTGTTATCAATTGTTATTTATTTACATATTTATTAACTAGTTGGTATGTATAAATTTTATTATAAGATAAACCACACATTTTATTGTAAATAGAGTTCTTTATAAATATTATTACTCTGTTATTCTGTTATTTATTTACGTGTTAATTATCAGAATGTAAGTATCAGAATTTTATTTATAAATTAAATATTACCAATAGAATTTCTTAATTAAATATTTCTATTTATTCTATTATTTATTTACTCATTTATTAACTAGCTGGTTTGTATAAAATTTATTTATTTGTTTATAAGATTAATATTATATTTACTATCAGAAGAATTCTCTATTAAGTATTATTATCTATTCTGTTATTCATTTATACATTAATTACCAGAATGTAAGTATAGAATTTTATTTAATAAACATTATATTTTGTCATCAATAGAATTCTCTATTAAATATTTCTTATTTATTCTGTTATTTATTCACACATTTATTAACTAGTTGGTATATATAAAATTTATTATAAAATAAACAACATATTTATTATAATTGAATTCTTTATTAAATATTATTATTCTGTTATTCTGTTATTTATTTACATATTAATCACCAGATTGTAAGTATAGAATTTTATTTACAAAATAACATAATATTTTATCAATAGAATTTTTATTAAACTTTTTTGTTTATTCTGTTATTTTATTATTGACTTATTTATTAACTACCAGGGTGTATGTATAGGATTTTGTTTATAAGACAAACAATATATTTAATCATTAATAGAATTCAGAATTATCTATTAAATATTTTATCTATTCTGTTTATTATATACATTTTAATACCAGGGGGTAAGTATAGAATGCTATCCATGAAAGAAGCAAGATAATTTACTATCAATAGAATTTTTTAATAAATATTTCTTATTTATTATTTTATTTTGTTATTCAATTATGTATTAACCACCAGATAGTAAGTATAGAATGTTATTTATAAAATTACAATATATTTTGTCATCAATAGAATTCTTAATTAAATTTTTATTTATTCTGTTATTTTGTTATTCAATTATGCATTAACAACCAGATGGTAAGTATTGAATTTTATTTATAAAATAAGCAATATATTTAATCATCAATAGAATTCTTTATTAAATATTTCTTACCTATTCTATTATTATGTTATTCACATATATATTAACTACTAGTACGTAAGTATAAAATTTTATTCATCGAATAAATAACACGTTTTGTTTGCAATAAAATTCTTTACTAAATATTTTTATCTAACCTATTATTCTGTTATTTGCTCATGTTAACTATTAGGGCGTAAGTATTATAAAGTAACATATTTTTTGTTATCAATAAAATCTTTATTAATTGTTATGGCTGATGCTGATTTTTGGGTCCCAATTTAGATCCATTACACCTACTAAAACCCACATATACTCTTTGATTAATAATTCTAACTCTAAATTCTAGTCTAACTATTAAAAAAGGCCAAAACAATGTATCCCAAAAAATTATAAAATTTTGTATTAAAATAGACCCCAAAATCAGCATCGCCGTGACATTAATTATTTCTTATTTATTCTATTATTTACTTGTACATGAAGTTTATTCATAACAACATATTTTAAATATTTTTATCTGCTTATATTCTTATATAATATGGTTATTAGCGATAATTCTTATGGCATTCTATGCACCAAATATTTTACAGACATTATATATCATGCAAAAATGGCCAATTAATTTTTATTTTGTTAAAGCATGTGTTTTTATATTGCTTCTATCTTTTTCAAGAAATGTTACTTACTATACTGATAAGGTGCCTAAATACTTTCTTGCTACCTCAACGGCAGTAGTTCAAGCTGATCTACGAGAAATGATGAAGATTGGTGATCAAGAGAACTTGGAAGATAAAATTGAGAAACTTGAAAAAAAATTAATGAAAGTTGTTGATCAAGAGTACCTAGAAAATAGAGTTGAGAAGCTTGTAAAAACATTAATAGTTAAAAACATCAAGGAACAGGAAGATGAGGTGGGTGCGAGAACCAAATATTGAAAAAAGAAGTTAAGTCTCAAAATAGCTATATTGTATAATAATCGGATTATTTCTATATAGGCTAGTTTATAATCTCTTAATGCAATAGCGATAGGTCTTATGAACTAAATATCGGGTTTGTGTTACGAAATAAGTGTCGCAGACTTATCGTTAGTGATAAATGCCGCTGTAACGAGATGTGCAAACCCAAACACAAATTAAATAGCGTTAAAAAAAATACATAATTAATACTGTGTTACTCGTCATTATAGTATACCAATTTTAATAAATAACTACATTAAAAATTTATCTGAATCACTTTTCAATCGATGAAATTAAAGAATGTCAAAATCCATGCTTGATGCAGAACAATTACACTTTTTTTTAGTGCTCATTTATTTTTCAATCAGTGAAGTTAAATAAATTTCAGAATTTAGAAGTAACAAATTTTTTAAAATGACGCAAAACGTTAGTGCGATGAATAATTATATATTTTGATCGGACATAATATAAATATAGACATAAATATGGAATGTGGCATGATGTATATTATTATAATACTAACACAATGTTTCATATAAAACATGGCTAACACATGTTTCATGTTTAAAATGGCTATTGGAACAGTTATAAAGAATTATTAACATTAAATATCGCAAATTATTATTATTATTTTTATTAAATGGTACGTACTATAAATAAGGCTTAAATAAATTAATATATTCAACTTTCCAGTAGTAAACCTTCATATAACTAGTCATCTATATAGTCCTATTATTTTTTGTCACAAAATAAGGTAAATTATACTACTACAGTATAAACTTTGAAAAAAAATCAGTAAGGTCGTCAATTTGATGTAAAGTTGAGTATATTGTCCTCATGAATATTTTTGCAAATTATTCTTATGAAAATAATTATTATGAATGGCATCTGACGAAATCGAAAAAACGATTAATAAATTAGGAAATGACCTTAGGAAAATAAAGAATATCCTGTTATTGACACTGTTAATGAGGCCGTCACATTATTCGCAAAGGCATTTAAAAATATTTCAAATGTTATACCAGGAAATATTGCGAAATCTGTGCTTAGTTATGCATGATTATGCATGATCTACCAATCAGATTTGAGAATCAGGTGTAACGTAAACAAACGTCGTTCTCAAAAATCTGCATAGTAAACCACCTTTAGTGCACTAACAAAAAGTTTTCCTTGTGCGATTTTACTATATAACCATTTAGCTTTTAACTTTATACGAAACGCCAACCCTAACATTAATGAACTTTAAAGAATTTTACATAATGATCAGCAACATGCATAACTGAGCACAGATTTTTTTAATGCGAAACTGGTGGAGTACATCTATGTGCCCCACCCGATTTGGAAATTATGCTTTTTATCCAATCAGCATTTATTATGTCAAATTTACACGATTAGTGTGTAAAGTTAAAATTAAAAAATTGATCGTTTTTTTTTAAGAAAAAAAATGCTTTTATCTTGAAATTTTGCTATGAAACTAACTTCTGCGTTCTAGCAAAAAAAAATTCCTTGCAAAATTTTGGTATAGTTCCTCTTTTAAAGCCTTACCCTTACTTTAACACTAACCCTTATATTAATTGATGTTTTTTTTTAAAAAAAACAAATATCGAAATCATATAAACAACGATGATCATTTCCATTTTGGGCGGGGTTACATAGAAGTGACTATCTAAATTCTGATTGGCTACTATATTAAATTTCACTAGTTTCATCTTTATAGAAGTTCAAGAGATTATAACTATATATAACTTGGCAGAGAATAATGAAGTCGGATGCACGACTTAAAAAAGAGGTTCTAGTAAGGCTTTATCGAAAGAGACAAACGGCTAAATGTATATGAAGATACTCACAATGTATAATATTTATTAGTCATATAAGTGAGGACATAATGTCAAAGTCTTACAATGAGACTATGGTCTAAAGTTAATACTAAGGCAGAAGCCAGATCTATATATTTTCTGCGTCGTTACGGGTTTTAAGTTGATCCGGGATTGTCGCCTGACATTCATGGATCGTGAAATGAATTAGGTTGTTTTAGAATCGATATTCATTTACCGATTAAAAAAAAATGAAAAAAAATAAAATTAATAAATTCAAGGCATAAAAAGCGAATAAAAATAAATTATTATTTGCTCTCTTAACGTTAATTGTTAGCTAAATTTTCATACATTAAACGAAAAATTAATTAAAATAATGAATTAAAATGATTAGATGCTCGCTCAACGTTAATTACTAGCCAAATTTTTATTCTTTAAACGTACAGTCAGACCTCGATATAATCACCAGGTTGGGAAACAAATATTTGGTGATTATAAAAAAGTGTGACTATATTAA